TAATGCAAACAGCCAAGCAGCTCATAGATAGTCACACAAACACTTTTGCACTTGTTACAGGTACTATAATGGCCATATTAATAGTGGCAACTATTGAAAAAAAGAAAAGATAGAAAAAAAGAATATAAATATATTGATCTGGTTGATCTTAAGTTTTAAAATTTATAAAAAAAATTAAATAAAAATATGTTATACTTCCTTGAACTTTACTGTATGCTTCTTAGTACTTATTGGTAAACAGTAAACAAGATACTTTATGTGGAAAAACACTTTTAATAAGGAGATTCTTTAAGCTTACCATAATACTGTTAAATGCTAATTAATAATGTAAACTAAACACACCGACCGTTAAATGCTACTTAATAATGTAAACTAAATATTAAAAACAAATTTTAAATGAAGATTTCCTAAACTTTCACCTGCACTTGTTGCTGCTCATTGAACTTGGACACCGACCAGAGGTTCCTTCCTCGAAAACATTTTCTACAGCTTGGAAATAGTTGCAGAAGCGACAGAGATAGGGCGAGGCAATGGCCAGGGAGAATCTGTATCTGTATCTGAATCTGAGGAGCGACCGTGTCCAATCGAAATAATATATTGTAAGATCTATTTGTGGTCTGCTTACAACAAAGGAGGATAGCAGAAGGCGTAGGGCGGAGGAAAACGAACCCCTCCTCGACGGCAGAAAAAGAAAGAAAGAACCAAAACTGAAATGAAAAGATTCGAAGGTCATAGAAACTGTCAAAGAAGAGAGATGGATGTTTGGTTGTATGGGCCATATATGAATGGTATGAATCGGTTGCTGTGATTGCCCATAGACAAATTGTCAAGAAACATGACAATTGAGGATTTTGCCCTCTGCGAAACATACATATTTTCCCTAGAGTTTACCGATTTTTCCCGCTCGTTGGCTTGCTTGTCAGCAGGCAGGCAGAGGCAGGGCTGGCAAACGGATGGGTCAAGTTTTCCACACTGTGGGAATAATGACACTTTTAAGAGGCGGCAGGGGAAACAATACAGCAGCAGCTAACAATCGGCTACAATGGAATTGATGGCATTATAATATGGGAGCAGCCAGTAATTCGGGGCTTAGTAATGGGAGAAGATTGCCAGTACAATTGTCTCGGATTAGGGGTTTTAGGGTTTTTCTTTTCGTTTCTTTTTTTTCGAGCTAAATTGGGTCAAGTCAGGTGGCTTTTCTTCAGGTTGGATTTTTTTGCCAAGTGTAGGAAATGTTGCGGCTAATTTTGGGATTTATAGTATGGGAATTTTAGGTAAGCTAAGAGATATTGTAAGGTATTATAAAGATGAGTTTATATATTATATAAGATATTAAAGTTAAGATCAAACTAGTTGGTGGAAATATAAATCATATTTACTTTAAAGTTATAAAAAAAGAGTTAAAGTGGGATTAGATTTACTTCCTAGAAAATTTTAAAGATATTTTATAGAAGGCAATCTACAGATATTAATTTGAAGGAAAAACTTCTACATTTTCTTTATATCTAAAGCTAAAAGCTCTTCTTCTTTTTCTCCCTTGTTAATAACAAAATAGATTAGCCATGTCAAAAAGCCAATGAAAGTCTTAAACTGTCTAAGAATTTTCTAGGCCTATAAGCATTTCCCAAAAGTAAACATGTATCTATGAATATAGACCAGTTCTTGGAAAAGATTTTTCAATTTTCACCCTGACCAAGGCAAAAGCAACACTTTAAAGATATTAATCGAAAAAATTCCGAATTTTTTTGTTTTGATTTTGTGACAGCTAAAACATTTTCCAATTTTCTAATACCCCTCACAGAGGGATCTAACATTATTTTTCTCAGCCACGTGCCGTTGAAAAAAATAATAATGAACACGTCCAGAAACGAGTCCACCTACGAGCCAATGTTGATGTGACAAATCCAAAAGCTTTTGACTGCGCAAATCTCACTCGAATCGAAACTAAATTTTGGGTTATAAAGAAGGCGGGCGCGGGCAACACGTGCCGCAGAGCCAATAAGGCTGGAGACTTTCCATGGCCAGAATTTTCCAAAAAAAAAAAAGAATAACTAAAAAATTAATTGGCCAACAACTGTGGGAAGGTACAAACATACATAGTTGAGTTCCTAGAGCGGGATTGTTCAAAAACAAAAACCAGAGGACTTGACCAAATATTTGCGATCTTTTTTTGTCATTTTTTATTTACCACCAACGTTGTTCTCTTAATGTCTACAAATATAGATACATTTGTGTGCTTCAATAACAGAAATTCCGCATTTGAGAATATGCATGCAAAATTGTTGACAAAAGTGACACACCAATCTATTTATTCAGTTTAGGAATGGAACGCGTTGGAAAAACAGTTGAGTGTGGGGTAGGGGAGATGGCGGAGATGGCCAAGAGAAATTTAAAACAAAGCCAAAGGCAAACAAGAAGTTAAATAATATGGCAAATATTCACCAGACACCGACTCAAAGTTCGGAATTTTTGTCTGAGTTGGGGAATACCAAGCAGATGTTCTAGATGTTCTCAATTCAAACTTTAAAAAAAAAGAAAGGAAAGAAACCTTAAAAAGTATTATTAAAAACGAAATTAAACTATGGGAAAACACGCAGCGAAAATGTGGCCAATGGAGAATTCGTGGAAACGCGTGTTGGCCATAATCGAAACGTGTTTTCGTCAACGAAAAACTATCTTTAGGAGAGGCCTCCTCTACACTAGTTGAAAATATTTATGAAAACATCAATAAATTACAAAGTCAAGGAAATTATCAGCGCCAGGCGCGTCATCGGGGGGCATCATTAAAATTGCCTTGAGTCTCGACGGGGAAAAACAAAAACAAAGGCGGCCAAACGAAATCACGAAAATATTCGGTAGGTTCAAAATACGTATTAAAATAAAAAAAAAATATATATTTTTATAGCCAAAATGACATAAAAATATATAACAAAAATGCGAACGAATTGTGACGTGAAATTGATTCAATTAAATCTTTTATGACGTGACAATTGAATTCTATTTTCGCATCTAATTGGAACTGATTGTAGTTTCGCCCCATCAAGCCCAACAACCATCGCCCGGCGCGTACATCTCTACCAACACGTACTACCTCTATACTATATGGATTCCTCCTCTCTCTCTATATATATATATATATATTCTCAATTCTATATAGTCTATATAGTCAAATATTGTGTTGTCAACTAGTCGCGCGTACACTTGCACCCTTTTTGTTTCTATTCTGGGAAATGACCGAATATCGCAATTGTTGGTCCAAAAAAGTGTCAGTTTTTCAGTTTTGCCAGATTTTGCCCCCTGGACCGCTTTCCTTTTCGTTTTGGTAATAGACTTGAGGTGGATACTAGATGGTTTCGCCTTAACAAGAAGAATGACAGCATTTTAAATGACTTTCTACACTCGCTGTTCTTTGGCGAAAATATGGCACACGTCTGGCCGTAATTACAGATCGCACACGAATTAAAAGAAAATCATTTTCCTTGACGATTGCAAATTATGAAATTTTCTTTAATTTGCAAATTAAGTCATTTTGTTAGTTTTTTTTCTTATATTTTAGGTATGAAATAATATAAATATGTTCTTTTAGTTAAGCTAAATTTCTAACTAGTTAAGATAGATAACTTTTCTTACCATCTTAAAGCCATGCAATATCTTCCTACTCCTGATGCACTTTTTTGTTGTTAAACCTCAGCCTGTTTTTTGGCCAACTGAAGCGTTGCCGCTTTTCAGCCAAGTTCATAGTACCCATTGCGGCCCAACAACAAGTTGTGGGCCTAGCCCAAACTGGTTGCCCAATTGTCTTCCCCTGCTGATCGCGAGTTGCCGATTGTTGCCGTTGCCGTTTGTGTAACTACTGCAGCGTTGCACTCAAAAAAAAAAAAAACTTGGATACCCGATCTATAAACTTAAAAGTTAAATGCACTAAATGGTTGTTAGTTTTAATCTTTAAATGCTTTCCTTTGGTATTACAACTTCCTAAAAGAGTTTATGGTTTGTGGTTTTATTTATTACTTAAAAAAAGATTCAATTTCAATTTCAATTTTGAAAATTATATTATTTTATTTATTTCTTAACTAAATGTGTCAAATAAAATCTGTATACAGACTGGAATATTTTTAAAACTTTATTATATTTGTATTTTTTTTAATAATAATGAATTGAACTTATTTTCATCATTAGATCCCTAAATCAGTTTTTGATATCTTCTTCTTAGACAAAATCTTAGTTTAGTATAAAAAAAGTTTTTATATTTATGATTTAAATATATGTATAATATGTTAATATAATTTTTTAATAATTTTTTTTTAAAGACAAATCATCTTTAATCGTAAATATTAAGCTGAAAATTAATAAAAATCCAAAGGGCTGTTGTGGTTGCGGAATCCCTGCTTTTGTTGCTCAAAAAAGGGGCCGTAAATATCTTCTTTTATCAACTTAGATACAGATAGAGCTGATTTCTTTCAGTGTATTTAACACAAACTAACATTGTATAACAATATTCATCTACTTGACGATTTCTCTCAGTGCCGTTGCCATGGCCGTGGCAATAACGGGTTGTGTGGACTGTGCGGCGTTGCCGCATTTCAGTGGTTCGGTGGCTGCTGAAAGAAAGTTGCACCCGCAACAAGCTGAACCGCCCCTGCCCAGCCCCCCATGAAGCCCCTGCCCCTGTTGGGAACGCCAACAGTGTTGGCAGAAAAGAAAGCCGTTTTGTTTTAATTTTTTCCACAATTATTTTCCGCTAGCGCAGGAAAAATTATATGCTTTTATTTTTCGTAATTTTTTTTTGCCTTTGTTTTTTGCTCTGTATGTGTGGTATGGTTTTTTTTTTTCACAAAATGTTTTTGTTTTTTGTTTTGTTTTGGTTACAAATTTCTCACAATTATTTTTGTTGTTTTACGCAATAAAAAAACTTAACATTAAATACAATATATTTTTGTTTTTGCGTTTGCTTGGTTTTTGTGTTTTTTATTTCTTTAATAATAAAAAATTAATACATGTATTTTTTTCGTATTTTGCTTGTTTATTTCTTTCTTTCTCTCTCTCTGGTTTTTGTAATAAATAGTTTTTTCTTTTCGCTTTGATAGATACTTTTTGCTGGTAATAGATACTTTCGTGTGTATATGTGTGTGTGTGTGTGTGTGGATGGTGTGTGTTTTTTGTATTTGTGAGAACATTAAGTTTTCCTCTTTACGTTAATTGTAATTTTTACAAATTATATCGCATTGCATTTAATTAAATTTTTTCACATTTTATTTGACGATTTATTGATTTTGTTTTCGCTGCTCTACATTTAAGTTATGTTTTTTATGTTAAAGTTTTTTTTTTTTATATCGCATTTGGGAGTTTTACACAGACAAAAAAATTTTACAAATTTTTTACGCTTTCACATTTACTGAGATATTCATTGCCTTAAATTTTACGCTTGATTTTTGTTTTTGTTTTTCTTTTAATGTTTAATTTATTCTCATTTTTATGTTTTTGTTGTGGATTTTTTTTTTTTGTTTTTTGTGTAGTACGCGCTATACATTTAATAATATATAAAAATTTGTTAAAATCCTAAAATTTGTTGGTTTTAATTAATATTAATTAATAATTTAAAAAATTTTTATTGCAGCAAGCTGCGTCTAACTAAAATTGGAGCGTGTGTTCATCATCCTACGACTGCCTCCGCCTCGCCGCCTCCTCTGACGCATTTCGAGAGGCCTCTCTTCTCAGTTTTAAAGTTAAATTTTAAATTTACCAAGATCAAGTTTGTTTGTTTTGTTGGTTTGTTTGTTTGTTTGTTTGTTTATTACTATATAGCATACAATTTTTAAAAAAATCTGTTCTTTTGTTGTGTGTAAGTGTTGTATGGGGTGTGTGTGTGTATGTGTGTGTTTATGTTTGTGTAATGTGTAATTTTTTATCAACGTCCTTTGCCGGACTTTGGTCTATCCGGCAAGAGACTCTTAGCATCTTAAACAGTATCACATATTCATGAGTTGTCGACCGGCGAGCCCCAAAGCGAAGGCCCCAGAAATATGATTTTCTGGTTATCAATCGTGGGGCTGCCGTCTTTGAATTTCATGTTGGTTTTTCTTTTAGTTTTTTTTTTTTTTTTTTTTTGTAATTTGTTTTTCTTTAAACTTTTCTTCCGCTCTTCTCTTGCCTTTTTTTGTTTTTCTTGCTTTTGCAGTTTTTGAAAAAGGAGAAACAACTTAAAACTCTAGTTATTTGTTATAGCACTACGCATCTAAGTAAAATGGTGGTGAGAGTCACAATTACAAAAATCGGGCCTTACGGTCCCATATATAATATATAGTATTAGTATGAGAGTGTGGTTGGCGTACCCTAATGTGTATGTGTGTTTTAGGTGTGTTTGTGTGTGTGTGTTTGTATGTGGTGTAGGTGGGGTGGCTTCGAATACTTGCTTCGTTGTTGCTCTTCAACTGCAACAAACTACTGCTCTCGATCATCACAGGGGTGGTGTTTTTTTATTTTTTCTTTATAATTTGTTTCTTGCAGACTATATATACCAATATAATCTGACAGATCTTGCTGGATCACCATTATTAATTTGTGGGCGTTGCAATTGCCGCACTGGGGCTATGGGCATGGCTGCCGAAGCTATAGCTACGACGTGCACCCAAACCATCGGCGGAATATAACTTATTCTTGGTGATCGTATACTCCGGACTGATGGTGATCGTGCGGGCCAAACTCTTCATGAATTGCGGCAACAGTGACGTCCAGCCGCGATGATCCTGCCTGAGGGTCAAGTATACTTCAAAGGTGGACACCGTATCGGGATCGATTTTGATCGAGGCAATGCGCCTTGAATTCTTTGGCTCATCCTCGAATTCAATGTAAATGGTGCAGCCACGAATGCCGCATGGCTCCTTCTCCGACACACGGATTATTTCCCGGGCCACGCTCGGCGTGAGATCACAGGGTAGCGACACTTCCGTACAGGTCAAATGACGCGATTTGGCCGCCCTCAGTTCATCGAGCAAACGCAACGACAGATTATCAACGGCCTTCATATCATAATTTAATGAATAATAGTTGTTGCTATTGCTATTACTGCTGTTGATGCCACCCTCCTCCTCATCGGCATAATAGTAGTTGCTATTGTAGCTGCCACTGGGCTTTGTCTTCTTGCTCTGACTTTGGCCAACATTATTGTTGCTGCTGCCCGCCGGCTGTTTGTGCTTAATACTGGTAGCTGTCGCTGTGGCATTACTATTGCTATTGCTATTGCTGCCCCCAATGGTCTTGGACTTTTTGGGCATAACGGCCACGGCCGCTTCGACGGTAACGGGCGGTGTCAGTGTGCTGGTCCAATCTAAAAGTAAAGTAAAATCAAAAGAAAATCTTGATTAGTAAAGATGATTAAAATGTAAACTTTGTTTGATTTTGTAAATTTCCTGGCTCTGTGAACCCCTTTAAAGACTAAATTCTATTACTAAATCAGATAATGAAAAAGCAAAACGGAAGCCAAAAACAAACAACTAAACAATGAGCAACAGCCGCTTGGCAACAGCGGACCAAAGATGAAAGCGCAACACGCAAACGTGAAACAAAGTGGAAAAAAATATACAAAAAAGACACAGAGGGCAAGAGCCCAAAAAGAAAACGAAAAATCATTTTTTATTGCTGCTTCAGAGTGTATTTTTTTTCTGTTGCTGCCGCTGCTGCTGTTGTTGTTGTTGCAATTTGCGTACGTGACGAACAATTTAACATGTTTTTAAATTTTTTATGACATTTTCCTTTTGTAATGGCAAATTGATTTTTTATGCATTTTTTTGTGTAAATGTAAATTACAAAATCTTAATTGCTGATGAAATTTCAAGGAGCTTTGCAAAGCAGTTGTGGTTTTTTTTGGTTTTTAAGTTAAGGTGAACGAATTAAATATTCAAAAATATATTTTTGACTTTGTCAGATGTTTATTTTTGAAATCGCAAAAGAAATTTGTTCCACTTTTTTCTGAACTTTCTAGAACCCTAAAAATATCTTACTTTCTTCCAGAATTTTCTTGAACTTACCTTTAGTTTTGTTTGATCCTCGCACACTACCGTAGATACTTTGCACAGGAATAACATCCATTTTCATTGGTTTTTTTTTGTGGTGTGGAAAGTCGAATCGAATCGAAAGTCGTTCGTTCGTTCGCTCGCTCGCAATTTTCCGACGGCTTTTTGTGTATTTGCCTTCTGGTTTTTATATCACTTTTACAATTTAATTAATTTAAGATTATTTAAGTTATCACAATTTGCTGTTTGTTTTCTTGCTGATTGCTTTTTCTTCTTCTTTATCTTGTTGTTGCAGTTTAAATTAACATTTGTTGTTGGTTGGTTGGTTGTTGTTGTTGTTTTGTAGTGGAAATCACAGCACTTATGTTGTTTAAACTTTTATTTGTTTTGTTTGTATCACTTAAATGGCGTTGGTCCGTTGCATTTGTTTGATGGCAAAATTTAATTTTTAAATTTTATTTTGTTTTTTTTTTAGTAGTTTAAAAAATATAACGTCAGTAGCATAGAATTCTTCGTGAAACAGTTTTGTATTTTTGAAATATGTATAATATGTGGATTTGTTTAGCAGTGGAAAAAGTCTGGCTATGCACGTTTTTGCTGCTGCTTCATTTGATTTACTTTTCTGGCTGTTTACTGTATTTTCTTGTTGTGTCTATCAGTGTTTTTTCGAAGCTACTATGAGTTTCTCTGCCGGCGCGCCGCTTTATATACCCCACGGCCGGCCGCTGCCGCCATCGCTGTCGGCGTCGACAGCATTGCGGCTATTGAGAGCGAGCACTCTCTTGCTTTCTCGTACTCTTTTGCTCACACAATACTTAACAGCTGTTTCACTCAGCAGGTCTCGCGCCTTCTCGCTCATGCGCACCTACAACCCGGCCGGCAAAAGAGCGAGAGAATGAGAGAGGGCGAGAGCAAGCGAGCGCAGGCAAACGGCGTACGTGACTCGCAAAAGAGGAAAAGAAAAGAAAAACCCGAATTGGAGAAAACCACGTAAAGGATGATGATGGAAATGTTCTCCCGCAAGGAAACGAAACGAATCAAAAAAAGCAACAACAAAATAAGTAAAATGTAATGTAAACGAGAATAAGCCACCCCGGCATTACTGTGCTGCCGACGTCAACGGCGGTGGCAACAGCAGCAGCAGCAACGCCGGCAGAGGGGCAGGCTGAAATTTTCCACTCCGAAAACGAAAACTCAGTTGCAAGTTGCAACATGCTGCAAATAGCGGCTGTTGCCAGGCCGCAAAATAAAAAAAAAAACGAAAAAAAAAACGTACGATACGAGATAGCCAGATATAAGATACGAATGTATCTTCAGAATTTCCTCGCATTTACTACGGAAACAAGCGAATGCAAATTTTACTTCAACAAATGAAAAATAAATTAAGATTGAAAAATCTTTCTAATCAAGGAAAACTTAATAAAAAATTAAATTTATAGATGTTGATGTGAAAATTCGGTTGTTAAGCAAATTGAAAATTCGACAAGGTGCTTGTTTTTGATATTTGATTTTACAAACTTAGATAAGAAGATATACAAATTAAAGTTCCTCCATTTCAGGGGATTTTTAAAGCATTTCACTTCCATTTTTAAAATTTTTCCTAAAAACATGATAGAGTTCGATATCATAAAATATTAAATTTTTTTATAAAAGGGTTCTTTAAAAATGGAAATCAATAAAGATAATAGTATCATGCTTTCTAAATCAGTAATAAATAAGTTCCATAAAAACCTAAATTTATATGGAAAAACAAGCCCATTTTCTTTAGGTAAAACGCACTTTAAAATAAACTCAACCCATATTTATTGAACTTCATAAACTTGTTTTATGGTTCTTATATTTTATTTTTATACAAAATTTCTAAAAAAAATATCTATTTAATTATAACCCGTATTTTGCAGACTGGTAATAAAGAAACTTAATTTTATTAAATGGGTAGTTTTATAAAAAAAAATCTAATATAAAATATCAATCTTGTGAAATCCCAAAAACAGGTTTTACAAAGTGCACGCCCAGCCATAATTTATATTATATTTTCTCCCTGAATATTTATTTCCTAATCTTAAGCAATATAAATTTCTTGAACTTGTCACATTTTGCCATATGTATTATTTCACAAAATTGATTTCCTGATTGTGTTTTCTTAATATAATATATATTTACATATTTCCTTATTTTACTTATCAAATCTTTGAGCATTTTTATAAGTAATTTTTCATTTCAAAACGTTTTATTAAATAATGAAATACCTTTCCAAAATGCATAACTATGTCATGTATTCTTAACAGTTTTCTTATAAAATATGCTAATTTTCCCAAGTCATAAAATCATATTCCAGGAACTTGGATTTTCCCCACAAGAAAACACGTTAAATCTATAAATACTTTCTTCCGATTCAATGACAAATTTCATCATAATTTCAATTTTATGCTCGCTCTTTGATATGAAACTCGCACAACTGATTACTTGAGGACCTGTTCTTATGAATTCATATTCATGGACCCCGAAAAGCGAAGAAGAAAAATTTCATCAGCAAATGAAAATTGTGTGGGATAATTTCATATTCATATCATGATCCCTGGCTGTGTGTCCTTTCCTTTCAATTGAATGCATTTTCCTGCCATCTTCTTTACTTTTATATATACATATATATTTATTTATTTTTGCTTGCCATTGTTGTTTGCTGACCAAAGCTGGCAATGCTGCACGTAGATTGAAAACGAAAGATTGAAATGTATCTCATGAAAGCCCCTCAATCTCCACATCCCTCCAAAAAAAAGCAGAAAACCAAGTTCTCTTTCTGATGCTGGCTCAAATAAATAAAATCAAATTTCTTTCAGATTGAAATGAAATGCCTTGGCTGCCATGAAGCAAGCACGCATGTGTATTTGTATCTGTATCTTTGGGATATCTTTCGTGCCACATTAGCTTTATGTAGATGTGTTTTGTCAGATAATAAATGAATTGAAACGAGAACTTCTTTTGTTTGACTTTTGGCCCCTCTGACTCTTTGGCACATTGCAAAACTGAACTGAACTCAACTGATTTTTGATTTCTGATTTTCGGCTATCACAGATATAAACTTGAGAACTCTTTGAAATTTCGCAATCTTTGAAATGCGAACTCTAATGGTGGCGTGGCCCTGGCTTTTTGATTAGAAACAGGCATAGAAGTTGGCCTGGAAAACGGGCCCCAAAACGGGCCTCTCTTAAAAATAAAACAACAAAGAACTGTGATTCAGGTTGGCCAACAGACGGCGGCCAGGGGTTAATGATCAGCCAAATTTATTGCCCGCACAAAATATATACGGGCATAAATCGGCTCATAGGGCATGTGTTTGCTTATTTTTTGGCTAATAGAAAGCTGATGGCTCTTTGGGTTTTTAAGTTATTAACTTTTTTTGTGATTAAAAAGATTATAACTTGACTGAGAGGGATACGAAAGTTGTATAAATTACGAAAATTGCAATAACTTTTCTTTTTATTTCTATTAAATCTGAAATTCTTATAAAAATCAAATTATTATCCAATAACAACTCAATAAAATTATTTACCTAATTTCGATTACTCAATTGGCAAATTTTTCATTTCGTTTCATAAACAATAAACTGACTTGAATGTTGGAAAATTTAAATGTGAAAAATTTCGCAAGGTAAATCAATCAACTTTGAGATTGAAATCCACTTTCCCAAACTGTTTCCTTTGTGACTTGGGCGATACATGGCAGCCATCGTGCATATAGAGAACTTTCCCTCGGTGTGTTCTCCGCTTTTCCGGGAAAGCAATTTTCACAAAGTTTACGCTTTGGCTTTCGCTCTTGTGGCCCCCTCGAAGGCAATTTGTAAATTTAAATTAGTTTTACTAAACACAACACATTTTCACACCGGCACACTGACAACCACACACACACACACACACACACCCATATGTGTATGCATAAATTTTCATTAAAAAAATAAGAAAAGAGAGTGGCGGGGAAAATCGTTGAACGTGTGCAGAACCCAAGAAAATTATCAAGAACAAGTTGAGTTTTCTTTTTGCCTTTTTTTTTTCTGAGGGGATGGCCCTGCCAAAATGTTTCCCCGAAAAACCCAATAAAAAAAAAAGAGGAAAGCGAGCAGGTGAAAAATACAAGTAGAAATCATAATATGCTGAGCAAATTATCCATTTATCTAACGCAGGGAGATCGACTTTCGTGAAATGCTCTAAAAAGTATCTATAGAAAAAGGCAGAAAAAGTTATGACGAGCACAAATTCGTAAAGTTCATTGTTCTGAATCTGTAGATTCATAAGTATATATAGTATATATATTATACATAGATATATTTCCGGGCTGGCAGCCAAAGTTAATGCCAAGGAATTTGGCAAGTAATTTATGACACTCAAATGGAAATGGAAAACAAATGGCGATAAGCTAATTTGATAAAGGTGTTTGATCGATCCACAGCGATAACAGCGATTTGCAATTGAAAAGAGAAAATCATTCGCTTTTTTGCCAGATAATTATCGCTGAAGTGGACGGATATGCAATGCTCAGAGTTTCTACATGCTGATTATTTCAACAGGTTGGGAAAAAAAGGGGTAGAGGCTTAAGTTAACTTAATTTTAGGGGAATAAATAGCAGAAGTTTTTCATTACAATTGAGATAAATGTAAATTATTCAAATATCATTACTGTATTTACCAAATGTAACTATTTAACAGTAAAATATCTTTTCCTGCTCAACGAAAACCAAAAATCAGATACAAAAACGGCATGTCTGGCGCCACCTAGCGGTCGGAGTTTCCAATGCACTGGCGACGTGACCAAATGAACGTGCGAGTGCAAGGGAGATGGCATAAGGCAATTTTCAGCAAGGCAAAAGGAAAATGATTTGGCAGTTTGTCTTCGGGGAAAATAAAATGCCTAAAATTAGAGCACAAATTAGATTTCAATTGAATTGAGATGTCTGCGGACAAAAGTGTCCCACAGATGCATAATTGATTTATGCAAAGCGAACTTGGGGCGAAAAACTCGGGAAAACTGGCCAAAAAGTTTTCTCTCATTTTTCATTATTTTTTTTTATTTTGTTCCTGCCTCGAAAAGTAACTATGCAAATGCAAATGAGTCCGAGTCGCCTATTTATTATTTATTTATGTGCAAAATGAGGTTTTCCTTCTTGCTGCCACTTTTCCTACTTGATTTAAATAATCTGTATTTTGTAATAATTTTTCATGAAAATCTTTTCACTTAGCTCACTTTTTGAGTGGAAAATAAGAAAATCACATTCCCTCTTTTTTTTATTTTGTAAATCACTCAAGAGAAGTTTTCATGTAACCATTTCTCTTAAGTTTGTTTATTAAAAACTCACTCACTATTTTTTATCTCTTAAGTTACTTTGAGTTACTTTTTCACAAAGTAACTATATTTTTTCCTACCCCCGCTACCATACTCTTTTACTCATTTTCTCTTTCACAGCTGATGCAGACGGTACTCTCTCTTTCTCTCAGCTGGTCGGCAACAAAGTGAAATAACTGGAACAGGCTCTCCTATTGGATTTCTTTGGCTTCAAAATGTAAAAACTATAGTTGGTTGCTTGTTTTAGCGAAAATGTAACATAAATTAATGGTTAGCTATACTATTTAGTTGAATTTCTGCCTTTATTGCTGGTCTCTCTCTCTTGCATTGTCCATCTCTTTTTCTA